AGTGGGAAGAGAATGTTTTCAAAATGATTATGGCGGCATATGTGCAAATGTGCTTGACACGCTGGATGAATATGTGGATTATGATAAGAGATGTAAGATCCCCCAGTAAAAGTATTTAATTAAAAAAAGAAAGAACGAAAAATAAGCAAAAGAAAGAAAGAATGATTTTCTCAAGAGAACTCGCCTTCATTTAAATTCACCCAACTAATAAGTACCTTCCATCTGTCTTAATCACTGAGCAGTCCAGGCCACCACCAACACACCATCTATGAACTCAACAGAATGAGACCCAACTCCTTAGCACTTTCAGTTCCAAAAGAAAAATAACTACACAAAATCAAGAGTCTAAGTAAAGGAAAAGTCTACAAAGACACGACAAATCTAACCCTGTAAGTAAAGGCAGGCTAAGCTGAAAGCATTTTAAACTATTACTAGCACTCTGTTTGGAATGTAAGTTGAAAGATGAGAACTGAATGTTTATACTTGAAGTCTATAACAAAAGGGTCAATAGAGATTTAGTTACAGGAGACTGGTGCCCTTCTTGAAAGAGAGAAATAGCAATAAGCTTCATTCCATGGGAATCTTATGTTAGGGTTTGTAATGTAATAGACATGTGTCATTCAGAAACAGTGGAAAATAAAATTTCAAGCTTATTCTGAGAGATTTTTTAGAAGATAAATATTAATATATAAGGAAGATATTAACATAAGAAAGTGGTTGATTATATGTTGTCCCTCACATTGCTTTTGAATGTCACATTTAGGATTTACGTCTTATAAAAGTAAAATATAATGTAATGTAATGCTTTCATCTTATAAGTTAGACCTGGGAAAATAACTGATCTTACAGGACAATTTTAACTACAAAAGTTTCCTCCTTTTCTGTAAGTAAACCATGATCATGTTGTTTTTTTATTATAAACTTCCATTAAGACTTTTTACAAGTACTCCTCTACAGGTTCAAAATACCATTTAACATCATAACTAGGCCTCCTAATTTAGGTTTCCCCAAAAGTATTCATTTGAGATTTATCATATAGCCATAGCTGTCCAATATTCTCTAACAATCTTGTAGAATTTTATAACTACATCTTATATTATAAAACCTCATCAACAGTAGCAGGGAAAAAATCCCTCTGTCTTATATGAGTACACAGTCAGAAAAGGCTCATTTAAATATTACCCCAAATGTGCGAAATAAATAATATAATCTTTTTTTAAGTCAGCAGCGGTATTTTATGGTCTATTTTTTCTTTTAAAAAATTGATAGAAAATAAAATGTCTCTGGGGCATATATTGCGTGCCAAGTTCAGATAGCCACAGAAGTATGAGTTTGGGATATTGCACATGAACCAGAGGCAGAAGGCCACGATCTCATTCTTCTGCTGCTAGAAATGAAGTGATTTTTTTTTTCTTAAAGGTAAGTAGTTCACCTTTTTAGTTCTGTTTTGTTTTCTATGAAAACAACAGGTAGAGCGACCGGTTCTTATAAAGACTTCTACCAGTCCTCATCATGCATATCTCTATCTTTCCTCAGTACAGTATTTAAGGAGCCCAGGACATGGGGCAATAATACTCACCAGAGGGCACTTCATGCTGCTGTCTGTAGATGCTGCCCCGACTGACCAGCTCCTAGAGAGCACCAGAGACTATATATTTTGCCTTGGCTGAACACCACCCATGATGATAAAAGCACTTAGCGACTCAGCTAGAGGAAACACTATTCTTTGAAGAGAGTCTAAAATTAGACAGGGGTGCATGTGAGCCCTCACAATGCCCAGACCCTTTGTGTCCTCGGTCGTTTTTATCTTGTCCATCTGAGGTCCACTTTGGTGACCTGTGTCCTCTGGATCCATAAGAGAAATGATTCTGGAAATGAGAGGTCCTCATATCTATTCCCCATGGGTGACCCTTGGAAATACATTTGCTTTGAAGCAGAAGTAGCAACGGCCTGGTTGGCAGCATCTCTAGGAATGCTCCTTTATAAGTCAGTGTTTACCACAGTGGGTGAGAGTGTGGAGTGGACTCAAATCCTGGCTCCACCATTTAACTGCTATGTGTTCTTCTTCACCAAAAACTTTAACCTCATGCATTTTAGGTTACTTTTCTGTAAAATAAGGAAAATAATAAACCCTCACTCATATAAGTTGTTGTCAGGATTAATCAAGATAATACATGCAAAGTAGTTAGTACAGAAACTAAAGTGAAAGACAAAATAGATATAGATAGATAGATAGATAGATAGATAGATAGATAGATAGATAGATAGATAGATAGATAGATAGATGATAGATAGATAGATCACTTGACCTGGAATTGCTGGAAAGACTTATGGAAAATCCACAAATTACTTGCTGGCTGTAAATGACATCTGGCTGCGCTTTGCTCTTCTGAGCAAAAGATATAGCAAAGACTACAAGCTGGCTCAGCTCTCACTAATAGGATTCTGCAGAGACCAGGAGGAAATGAGATTATCCTGAAAAGTAGGGAAAAATTACTCTGGTTAAAGGTTGAATCTTTAAGAGAGAGATAAAATAGAAGCAAAGATTTTAATGCAGTCCTGGAGAACCAGAGAAAGGAGGCCGTGTTCCATGTCTTCTCAAATGTGGCCCACATTAAAGTCACAGAGTTTTATAACTGATGTCTCCCTGAAGATGATTTTCTTAAGGCAAATGAAGCCCCAGAGAAGGCAAACAACTTGCTCAGACCATTCAGCAATAAGTATCAGCACCAAGACAAACAAGTCTATTGGAATCCACCACCACCCCCACCCCCCATTGGGCCACCTAATATTGTCTTGTCTCTCTCGTTAGTCAGCATCCTAACGATGTGCCAAACGCATCAAAAATACAAAAAAACCACATGGGAGAGGCTTGGCTGTTTTCCACGAGTGCCTGAAAAATACGGAAGGAACCTACCTCACCAAGACATTCTTTGCAGACCATCCATCGTGGGCACTGAGAACCGCACTCAGCCTGTAACCTCTCCCAGGTCACTCTCTGTCATCACATTCTCGCTCTCTGCATGTCGGCACATACATATATATAGAATGAACTGAGTGATGATTGGCAGGGCAGTTCATCCATCCTACTTTCAACAATCCACACAGTGCTTATGTCACCTCATTCATTGGACATCCCCGCCATGTAACAGCAAGTATCTCACATCCTCCCTGTTTCAATATCTCCTGGGGGTGGGAGGGTGGGGGCGCACAGGAGATGTCACTCTTTGGATCTCAAATGGTTTATTCTCCCAAGATGTACGTGTCTTACATACATAATTAATGTTATTGCTCCCCCTTATAGATCCGTCTGTCCTTTAGCTGAAAACTGAGCCACCAGGGGTAAGCACACTTCCAGACCTGTAGGGTGACTAAGGGCCAGAGTTTCAGGACTAGCACCCATCTCTAACTAATAAGGCTGGCCCCTTTTCAGGTTTTGAGTCTTCAGCCACATTTTCACCCACTCCATCCAGGACCTTCTAATGTGATCCCTTGGAGAGAAGTCAGCAGGAAGAACCAGGCACCATTGGTTTTTCTGGTCTGGGGTTCGTGGAGACTGCTGTTCCCGTGGTCCTTTAGAGACTGGACTAACTGGCTCCAAGCATCTTCACTGTTTACCACTAACCTCTAGATGGGAAGAGATCTATGATTGCTATTTACATGGTGGCTCACAAACTTTTAGGGCACCAGTTGCTCCTAACCAAAGTAGGACACAGAGCATTGTCTCGGTGAATAGTTGTGCCAGATGACCTAGGTTGTCCCATCAAAGAACTCCTAGGCTCAGTAACTCTTTTCCTCAATGTATTGGGCTACACGTCTAAGAAATCTGCGTAACTTTGACACCCCCCCCCATGCACTCCACCTTCTTCCTAGCTAAAGAAAAGGAAAATACTTATCGTAAAAAGATCTTCTATCAAAGTGATCTATGTTTGTACTCTCCCTCCCACACCTTTTCAGCCTGTGGGTCTGCTGATTCAATCTACTTGCAGATCGCCATTACTACAGGGCTGTATACCTAATGGTATTTACCTCTGTTACCTTTTAAGTCTTGAATTTCTCTCAGAGTCGGCTTCCCTCTATGGAGCTATTCCTAGAAGCCCCGCACCTCAAAGGTCAAGCAACCCCCTGGGCAGACGCTACAACCTGATCATTTACAAACGCCCATCTTCCCTCAAAGGGTATCCACCTTGAGGCAAGCACTACAAAGCTGTGGATTAACTTTCCTCCAAGCTCCCCTAGTGATTCATCCAGAACTGATCTCTTCCTTCTGAGATAACTACCACCAGGCTAGTTCAAAAAGTGTGTGAGCGTGTGAAGGAGATCTGAAACCCAAGTCAACCTAACAGAAGAACCAGAGAAAGAGGGGGACCAAAGAAGAGATGACTGATTGGGGTGGGGGTGGGGGTGGCGGGCAGACAAGCAGAAGGAGCACACTAAATACAGGGGCGAGTCTGGATCCTGGCAATAACTCGCCTTTTAAGACCAGGGGATAGAAGTGCGGAGAGGACGCACTGATTGTCTGCTGCTAACGGACCAGGCGTCTCCTGGTCCAGCCGCACAGGGAGGGGAAATGCTCTCCGCTCCAGCTCCTTTTGCTCCGCTGCTCACCACTCCGAACCTGCCTGGTTTCCTGGATCACCCACAACCCAGGACCCTCCCAGTTCTCCTGAGGGTCGGAGAAATGCTTTAGTAGAGGTGTCAGGGTCTCTCTCAGCTATCCTGAGGGCCCCCACCTCCTCCTTCCAGGGAAACCAAGCAGAAGAAAGACTTTCCATGAGCGCCTGAAGCTGACCAGCCTGGGGGGCTTGCTTAATGCCCATGGGCACATATCTGGGGTGCCCTCAGCCCACCCCGGACTCTGCTCCAAGAATGGCAGCGCCAAGGGACACAACCGAGCGCGCTTTCCACACACGTACGCCCCCAATCGAAACCGAAAGGCAGAGTTTGCTTTTGGTTTGATTTGGTTTGAGGTTTTGGGGGTTGTTTTTTTCCTCCCCTACCTGAATTCAGGGACCAAGTTCGGTTGCAACCCGTAGAAAGCAGCGGAGAGAGTGACCAGCCAGCCGGGCTTGTAACTCCCGTTCTCGCACTCCAGATAAGGCGGGGACCACTTGATGTGGCTTTTATCCCCGCCGGGCCCGTCCCTGCGCCGCCAGCTGTGGCCCAGGCCCCGGGGCCCCTGATGGGAGCCGCGGCGGTGCAAGTGGGGCCTCCACCTGCGCCGGAAGCCGTGGAACCACTCGGTGTCCAGCGTGGCGTTGGCCAGGTGGTGCGCCGAGGAGGACAGGTCCTGGAGCAGGATGCGGTTCTCCTCGCGCGTGGCCTGGAGGAAAACGTGCGGGGTCGCGGGCGCGGGCAGGGACTCGGGGCTGAAGGTGATGGCCGCGCGGGAGACGCTGGGCTCGCCCTCCAGGAGGCTGCGCACCAGCGCCTGGTACCACTCCAGGTCGCCCTGCAAGTTCTGCTCCCGCGACTGATTGCTCTGCAGCATCAGAGTGAGGAAGTTGGTGGCGTGTGTCAGAGTGTCCAGCGCTCCGTGCAAGGCGGGGTGAGAGCTGGCGAGGGCCGGCGACTTCCCAGGCAGGCCGGCCAACTCGTAGCGGCCCGAGCAGTTGGCTTGCCTCAGCTGGAGGGAGTCCCCGGTGTAGAGGTAGGAGGCCACGTCCACCGGCACCTCCTCGGCCAGTTTCTGCGCCAAGATGGTGCCATCCGTGGAGTGGCTCCAGGGCAGCGGAGGGTCTGAGGCAGCCGCGCGGGCCGCAGGCAGGACGTGCTGTTTCCCCTTCAGGGTCCTCTCTCGAGGGGAATCCGGCCGTCGCAGGGGCTCGCGGCTGGCCGCCACCGCTCCCAAGCCCAGCTGCGCGGCCAGCAGACAGAGGAGTAAGGGGTGAGCCATGCTGGCTCCCGTCTGTCTCGCGGAAAGAAGAGGAGAGGACGGGAGGAGTCACTTTTCAAAGCCTGGGCATCAATGTATCCACCTGGAGAGTTTCGCGTGCAGTCTTCCCCCGTCCTTCCACAGATGGCACCGGACAAGCCAATGGGACTTTCACCAGGAGCCTGTTTCCAAATTGGCCCTCGAGGTTGGGCTTCCCGTCGCCGGAAACCGGATCACCTGTAGCGATGCTGGCCGCACGCGCTCCCACCCCCACGGCTCGGCTGGGGCTTCCGCACCGCGCAGCCCGGAGCGGCGCAGGTTACATCCCCTTGGGCTCCCGGCAGCGGACGCGGAGCCTGCGGACGTCTCTCTGCTCAGCTGTGTCCACCGCCGCTCTCATTGAGGTGTGTTCCGGAGACGCTGCTGCCGCCGCCGCGGCCACCGAAGACGCCGCTCCATCAACTCGCCGGTGGCAGGTCGTTCCCGCCTCCCGGCGCTGGCTCCGCCTCGTTCCCTTGCCGGCCCGGCGCGCGCGCACCCGGACCCGCGCCCGCCAGCGTCCGGGGAAGTCCCCGGGAGCGCAGACGTCTTTTAGAGATGTCCGTCTCTCCGGAGTCTACCGGGCCGCGCAGCTGGTTCCATTGGCTCCACACTGCTGCCTCTCCTGGCTCTCATCCCCTCCCCGGGGGGCCAGCGGGCGGAAGCCGGGTGTCAAGAAGCAGTTTAGCCTCCGCAAAACCCCCAGCGGGGCTGATGGCACAGGTTTGGTCCCTTTTGGTCGAGTCCGGCGTCAATCAGCCGCCTGCCATTGGTTGGCCTGGTCGGGAGCTGTCCAGTGCTGAAGCCACGGCGGCACAGAGGTGGAGGCGGCGGCACAGAGGTGGAGGCGGCGGCGGCGCGGGCGGCCGCTGCGCCCGCTCCTTGCACCCACTCGTGTTCCCTCCCTGATGACTCGGAACCCTGCGGGGTGCAGGCGGGGGCGGGCGGGAGTGGCTCGGAGCGAGGGAAACGCGGACGTGCAGAGGAGGAGAAGGAGGAGGAGGAGGAGGAGGTGGCTGTTGGCGTCTTGCATTCTTCCTTAAAACCAGCCTTTTCTCCTGCCTGGAAAAGCGGGTGGGTGGAGGCGTTTGGGAGTGGGGGTAGAAAGGGTGGAGGCGTTTGGGAGTGGGGGTAGAAAGGGAGTTTTCTTTCCTGATGTAAATGGAAGGGGAGGGACGTAGGATGGAGACTGGTCCTCCGGAGCATCTGCTCATTTGGGGGGCAAGTGATCAAATCCTCCTGCTGGAAATAAGTAAAACCTACTCTCTGAGGCTAATCTAACTGGGAGAGAAGAATGGAGACATCTACCGGCTGAGCTGTAAGGACAGTGGGGTGGGGGACCTTGCGGGGCAGGGATGCCAGGTTTTGCTGTTGTTGTTTTTAAGAACCTCTGCTTTGGAAAGGAGACCAGTTTGGACAGGAGCCTATGAGAGTGTCTGCAGGTGACAGTGTCTAAGAGATTAATGAACGGTGCAAGAATGAGAATGAGCGCGTCTGTGTTGAGTGGGAAGGGAAGTGATGCTGACTGAAGTTCCTGAAACCGGTGAATAACAACTTTTGTAAACTGTAACTTCAGCTTATCCCAGTGGAAGAAAGGAGGGCTGAATCTATATTCCCAGCACCCCCAATGACTGGGAAATCCTGCCCTAGAGTCTGCTGCATTTGAACTTCATAAAGGAATTTTGGAGGGTTTCTTTCCACTTAAAAACATGCGCACTGTGTGTACTTGATGATATACCCCTGGTTTCCCAGGCACCTCTATTTTAAGATTCCCTAAGAAAGTCACAAATGGAAAATAACTTCAACTCACAACAAGCACAGAAGTCATTCAAAAAGCATTCTAAGGTTGCCCTTCTTACATTTACTTTACCATTTTATTTCATTTTCCCCTGGTGAGGAAACATCCACACACTGGAATGTAAGCTTTGAAGGACACCCCCCCCAATAAAAAGCCCACATTGGTCAATTATGTATCTCAAGTACCAAGAATATCTGGCACATAGGTTCTCGTTCAAACGAATGGACAGACCAGAAGATGGTAGTGAGGAAGTCATCTCCACTCAAGAAGATGAGGGTTTTTCGAGGAAAGCAACCACGGTCTCCAAGTGAATTTTTAGCGCTATGCAAAGAGTGGTTATTAGACTTGTATTTACTTACAAATTGAGTTCATGTTCAAATTCAACTTTTTGTTTAAATTTTGCTTTGCCATGTTAGCTCCTATGCAAAATAAAGGTCATCCCAATTTAATCCTCTGCTATAGCATAGTGGCAATCATAAGAGAAGGAATTTCTGTTTGTTTCATTTTATCAAAGTATACAATAGGATTTTGCATCTAGTTAACCTAAAAGACTGAAGTATAATTTCCTCATTGATTGATGATTTATAAAGCCTGTTTTAGCCATTCTTTAGAATTTTATTTTTATTATTTAACTTAAAGGGGAAGATATCAATTCTTTAGTACATTCTCCCATCATGTAATGTCTTAGCATACCAAAAAATAAATAAAAATAAAAACCCTGAGCTCTAGTCCCAGCATTGTTTTGAGCAATATATGTGATCACTAGCTAGACATCTAAAGTTGTTGTGACACAATTATATCTGGCCTTCAGGGTTTGACATTGAGGGGCTGCTGGAATGTCACCTGGCCCACTTTCAAGAAATATCATCCCTTCTCATGGTGTGCACACAGGAACAGAAAATCAAAAGCTATTGCAATTTATCATTCCCTTCAGTTTACTTTGCCAAACAACTTGAATGACTCAGGTACCATACATGTAGAGCAAAGCCAAACAGAAATCTAATATGAGATACATTTGGAACCATATAGGATAGTGAGTGGGGGACCAGCCTCCCCACAACCAAATGTGCACAAGGAGCGGTTGTGCAATTGAGGAGTAAAATAAAGAGACCTCAGACAAGATAAAGCAGCAGTTCTCAACTTGTGGGTCATGACCCCATGGGGGGTAGAACAACCCTTTCACAGGGGTCGCCCGATTCATAACAGTAGCAAAATTACAGTTATGAAATAGCAACAAAAATAATTTTATGATGGGGGGGTCACCACAACATGAGGAACTGTATTAAAGGGACTTGGCATTAGGAAGGCTGAGAACCACTACGATAAAGCATGCAAGGGCTCACCTATGAGATTGCTTCAGGAACCAGGTCCAAGCAGAGAGAGAGAGAGATTGTGTTCTCCTCATCTTCGATACTCTCAGGGCATGCAAGCTCCTCTCATTAGAGGAAACCACATACATAACAGGAAGAGAGTGTATTAGAGGCATACACGTAACATGAGGAGGATGAGCTAGGGGCATACACTCGATAGAAAGTGGAGGCAATAGAGGCATACATGTGACAGGAAGGCACATATGTAACAAGATAGGCAGGTTCTAGAGTCAAGATGACAGCCTAACATTGGTCATCTCTGAGCTGCCTTGACCACAGGAGTCTTGGAGCTCTTCTCCAGGGGAACAATCTATGATCCTTATCAGAAGAAGGGGGCCCTACTTAGGGTGGGACAGACAATAGGGTCTGATTGCTTTTGATGGCAGACAAACTTCAGACAAATAGCCTTTACGCAGTTGACCTTCAAATATATAGAGTGAGAGACCATGTGTTTGCAAACAGCACCTTAAATTTGGCATTATTATGTAGGGGACATTGAAGGAAATGACTTTACTTAAGAGAATGTGAGTGTGATACATCGCCAACCCACAAACATGAAGGTTCCCTCCACCGGACACCTGGCCTCCCAGACTCCTTAACGTAACTATGAATGTTGCGTTTGCCCATATATCCTCTCTTCCCGGTTCTGGTTACCACAATAGTGTAGGTATAATTTGAAAGATTCCAGTAGCACATTTTTTAAGAAATAGAAGAGAAAGTGAAAATAATCTCACTAATAAATTTATTGTGTATATGTATATGTGTGTATACCCCAAATATTTTCATCTCAATTAATAACCAATAATCAAAAACAATTAATGAGACCTTCTCCCCTATTTTATACTAGGTCTTCAAAATCAGTTGTTTATTTCACAGTTCTAGAACATCTCACTTCACATTAGCCACATTTCAAGTGCTCCAGAAGCTACCATATGGTACAGCACAAGTTCGAGTCCAGACATAGTGCATTAGAGTTCCGAATGTTCCAGGAAGGTTGGCACTACCAGAGATAAGGAACCAAAGTCCAGAAGTTCTAGGTGGTCTGGTCTATTTAAGAGGTCTGGAATCAAGGTAACTGAGTAGAAAGACAATCCTGTGATGATATTAATATCCACCATGAAAGGTCATAATCAAAATGAAGTTCATATAAGAGGTAAAATTTAACCCATGTATACACATACACCTCAGACCAGAAAATGCCATACAATTCATATGGGGAAATTGAGAATACAATAAGGAGAAGGATAAGATGATAATTTAAAAAATATATTCTTCTGAACTATCTAAGATGCACACAGAGTCTCAGGGTAATACATCACAGAAGACATATCTTTTTTTAATTATTCTTCATTGAGCCTCTACTGTATGCCAGCCATTGCACTTGGTACTGGAGCAAAGTGCATATCTCCTATTTCCATGGAGAAGTCAATTCAGTAGATAATAAAGACAAATATACCATGTAACTATGTCCTATTGTGAGTGTGGTGAAGAAAAACACCACTGTAAAGTGATCGAGAGCACAGGGCATGGGAACAACGGTGGAATTCCTAGAAACAGGAGCTCATGGAAAGGAATATCCGAATGAGAAGGCAGTAACAATCTGAAGAATGAGGAACAATTCCCTGGTTCACAGTGAACTCGAGAAGGGCCAAGTCCCTGGGTCATGCAAATGGTTAAGAAGTTTGACCACTAATAGAAAGGTTAGAGGTTGAAATCCACCCACAGGCTCTTGGAAGAAAAGCTTGACAGCCGAATTCTCAAAAGCCAGCCATTGAAAACAGTACGGAGCACAGCTCTATTCTGACAAACATGGGATGGCCCCTCTGGTTGGTTGGTTTGGTTATTTAGGAGTTGAATGGGAGGAAACCCTATTTTAGGTAGAGGAAGTAATAGATGAATGCACTCAAAACAACAACAAAGAAAACTCACCGCCATCAAGTCTATTCTTTTTTTTTTTTTAACATTTTATTAGGGGCTCACACAACTGTTATCCCAATCCATACACACATCAATTGTGTAAAGCGCATTTGTACATCGTTTCTCAAAACATTTTCTCTCCACTTAAACCCCCGACATTAGGTCCTCATTTTCCCCTCCCTCCCCGCTCCCCCCTCCCTCATGAGCCCTTGATAGTTTATAAATGGGTATTTTGTCATATCTTGCCCTGTCCGACGTCTCCCTTCACCCACTTTTCGGTTGTCTGTCTCCCAGGGAG